TGGCGCCAGCCAGTTCTCGCTGCAAGGGCCATTAAAAGAGAGTAACAACAACACTAAAAATAAAATTAAACTGTCATCGATCCTGGACGGCTACTCTTAATTTATGCACGAAGAGAGTTTTGCTTATTTTTTTTTCTTATAACTCGCATACCTAAAAGCATGATAGAAATAAACTCCTTACTAGAAGATCAGTATTAAAAGGCAAAACGTGAGGTCCTCTCTGGCAGATATCTCCATCCTCAACGAGCGCTGGTTTAAATTCTTACATGTTTTAAGAGGAAAAAAAGAGGCTGGCGCTGCCGTACTGCCTGCTCCAAATGTACAGGCACACTCCCTGCTGCCTGAGAGGTCAAAAGCTGTTACCTTCATTAATAACGAAAAGCCCAAAACTATGCTTGTTTTAGCAAGCATGGATTTAATGGATCAGATCCTGAAAACTTCTTCCTGCCTTGTTAGACAGGTCTCATTACTCGCCATGGGCCCTGCATGGTGCCCACCGTGGTAATTGTGAATGGGGATTATTAATAACAACAGCAGTTCTGATTGGGTCCTGGTCACCAGGGCTGAGTCTCTGGTGAGAGTGGAGTTCTGGAGAACCTGGGGATAATTAGTGTTAGTATCAAAGCATCTTTTCAGGTGGAAAATCCACATCTTCTCAACACATGCTGGTAACAGGAAGGTGAGGTTGATGAGTATAACTGGTATCCTTAGAGCTCTAGTGCTCTCAGGACGGCTGCTTCAGAATGGCTGCTTTTCCTCATGCCTTTTGTGCATGAGAGTGCCACGAGGATAACTGAAAATGGCCCTGATTTTAATCATACATCATTGCTCCTGTCTGCTAGGTCCATAAACTTCGCCTACAGGCTGAAATGGCATTGACTCATCCTGAACTCTCTTCCAGTGGCTGATTACTGAAGTGGAATCTGTCTGATCGACTTAATAAGAATTTACCACTGCACTAAATGACGAAAATTTGTTTTTTGCATGGCTGCATTTTTGCAGTTGATGGCATTTTGAGTTCTCCTTCCTGGAGGCAAATAATCCCCATAAATACTCTTATTCCTGACCTCATTAGTCAGATCCAGAGCCAACATCATTTTCAACGGTTGTCTAGTGAGCTGCTTTAGGTATTCCTAAACATGTTGAGAAGTGAGAAAACTCTGACCTGTGCACCTTGCAATAACAATGTAGGGTTCCTGCAAAGGACCAACAGCCTGGAAGACAAGGGCCGGATTGTCAGCTCCCTGAAGGAAAGGCAGTCTTCCAAGAGCCTGCTGGTGTCTGAGAATAGCGAGAAGGAATCCAGGTTCCGCCGCACTGAGACGGACTTCTCCAATTTGTATGCCAGAGGTAAATGTTCTTTACAGCTTCTGCTTGCGCTAGCTCGGGCACGTCCCTTAGCAGTCTGCCCTCACCTCCCTTGGAAGCGCAGCCATGTTCAGACCGTGCTTTTGCCTGGTTCTGTGTGTTTGCCGAGAGCCACACTGGTGATGTGTACAGCTTTCCTGAAATGCAATTTTATGTACTTTAGGCTGATCCTCTGCATCTCAGTACCAGTCGCTCCCCTGGGGTCACTCCAGATACAGCTTCTGGGAGGAGAGTAATTTTATGTTTTATTTCCTCCTCAGTAAAATAGCAATGAAACTATCTGTGATTGCTGATGCGGTGCCATTGACGAGGAGGGTGGGGAAGGGAAATCAGCCCCTTTGCAAGGCGGGGAGGGGCAGGGGCATTGCAAAAGAAGGCCAGGTGTGGATTTGGGATGCTTTTGATCCCGGGAGGTGAGTGCCCCGCAGTGCATAGCGTTAGCCTTGAAGGTCGTGCTTTTGGCTGGGGTCCCTTGGAGATGCTCCCGTTGTTCCTGTGGGCGACATGAGCTTTCTCTTCCCCACCGGGCGAGAGGGACTGGGAGGCCCGAAGGAAGCGGCAGGTTTCACATCCAGGCTGTGCTGGGGTCACACCTTCCAGGTCCTGGGAGTGATGCAGGCAGCCAAGGCTGGTTCATCTCCACCTCTTGCTCCCAAAGCAAGCGCTGACATTTGTGTTTTGTCCCACAGATTTGCTGCCCGCCAAGAATGGCGAGGACCAAACTGTGCAGTTCCTGCTGGAGGTTGTGGACATTCTTCTCAACTACGTGAGGAAGACATTTGACAGATCCACCAAAGTGTTGGACTTTCACCACCCACATCAGCTCCTGGAGGGTATGGAGGGCTTCAACCTGGAACTGTCGGATAACCCCGAATCCCTGGAGCAGATCCTGGTGGACTGCCGGGACACACTGAAGTATGGAGTGAGGACAGGTAGGTTCTCGCACACTACTCTGGAGAGTCCCTCTTGTGAATTTTCTCTGGCCCAAGGTGAAGGAAGTGGGCTGGAGACCATGGAAGTGAGCCCACACCCTCTCCACACCCTCAACTCTACCTCTCTGGAGCCTCAGCTGTCTGCAGGCGCTGGAAATGTCTCTGCTGAGAAACTTAAGTTATTGATGCTCCATCTGTCCCTGGTGAGCAGGGCTCAGTGCTGTTTGCAGAGCCTAGAAACAAGTTTTTAAGACATAATCTCTTTCACTTGATGAAAAGTGAGCTGTCTGTATCTCTGGGGAGCAATATCATTAGGTAAATGAGGGCATAAATGACACTGAATTTGCAGTTTTTCTTCTTTATGTTCACCAGATGTTTAATGAAAAAGAGACTGAAATCCTAGGAATCATCAATAATGGAACCCTGTGGATTTCAGCCCATTACCCAGGAGCCCCACCTGTCCAGGTCCTTCTGAATCAGATAGAAATGCCCCTTTGTGATCACTTTTTTTTACTGGGTGAACTGTGCCAGGCTCTAGAACAAAGCCTGTGCTCTTTCGGGCTGTTTGGCCTGAAACCTGTTACAACTGTACCAGCAGGCAGCTCGGCTGGCAACAAGCCCTGGCTGCCATACAGATCCAGCAGGTCAGGAACCAGAGCAGTAATGGCACGGGGTCTGCATCTTCCCTCCCGAGTCCTGCCCCAGCGTTTTGGGGCTGCTGAGCAGTACCCAGCAAGCTGCCCTCAGCTTGGCTTGGCACGGCGGGAGCTCCCAGAGAGAGTGTTTGTTGGACGGTCTCTGCCTGGGCAGCTGCGTTCTACGCCCGGTAGTTATGCAGCTGTGAAAACCCAACGCAGTTGCGTGCAAGCAGCAAAATCTCACAGATGTGTCAGTTAACTTCCTGCCTTTCCCATTTACATGCTGGGTCGATTCATTCAAGAGCGTCAGGGGCGTATTTTGACTTTTGTGCCCTTAATCAAACAGGAGCGCATTTTGCTCCTGAACCTTAGGATATCGAACAGGTGGCCAGCAGCAAAGTCAGAGTCCCCTTGGCCTGTGCTTACACCGTTATTCCGCTATTGATTGCGCCGGGATGTTGAGCAAGCTCTTCCCCTCATCCCGACCTCGCCCGAGCCTCGGCGGGA